CCCTCCCTTGACCAGACCTATTGAACAGCAGGGCGAGCGCGAGTCACAGCGACTGTGGCAACCCACCGTGAAGGCGATCATTGCAAGGAACCACGAGGCAGCTACGGATGAAAAGACCAAGATTGAGGACCGCCAAAGAGAAGAGGCAGCGAAGCGTGCCGATGATGGCGTTGAATGGCACCCCCGGCTGTTCCGACGGGTGCAGGGCGGGCCCCACGGCCCCGATGAGGGAGAAGAGGACCTAGATTGGATCATCAATGCACACGTGTAAGTTTCTGTGTTTACATCCGCAAGTATAACAGGACTAACGACCCCAGCGACTCGCACAACCCCGAGCTCGCTGCCAAACAAATTCTGGCCATTGCCCCGATCCTCGAAGGTCAGACAGAACCCACCCAGTTCCAGATTCCCGCACACAAGGGTAAGGAGTCTGCTGCGACAGCCGATCCAGCCGATGGCGCTGACTCCGCTCAGAGCGAGCCTAAGAAAGAAGCAGAAGAAGCCGTCGAACGCAAGGACTCACGGACATCGGATGTCGATGCCTACGTCGATGCCAAGGAGACATAGGTATACCTGACTTCCTGGATGGCTCCAGTTGACGATGACAAGTCGTTAAACGAGCTGAATATCCGGAGGGCAAGTGACCTATAAGTGAGGCACAATATAGAAGAGCGAGAATCATGAAACTTCAAAGAACCGAAAAGCAAGGAAATGGTAGGTCGAGCCGTCATTCACATCAACATAATTGACCTGCTCGAGGATTCCAACGCGAGAAACAAGGGAAAGAGTCCGGCCAACCACGAACATTCAACACATCACTCAAACATACCCACCATTTCCATCAGATTACTATACTGGATACCCGATTGATTTAATATGCAGAGACTGCGACAAAAGTTGAGAAAAGAACGGACAGGGGAAGGCCTCCAGACGGACCGGAGCACGGGTGATGGGCAAATTCTTGCTTACTATATGTGGATATACATATCATCATCTGGGACACCATGACGTGGGATGGGCATTGATACAGCTAGCGTTTAGGTGACTGATTTATTTAGCATTAATATAGACTATGGTTGTGGATAATGCATAATTTTGACTTTAGTAAATTCATCTCTATGCCCAGTTGGCCAGCCTTTACTTGGGAGTCTCAGCGTCCCACCAGCCATCCTGTATACAAACCAAACCCATACCCCCCCCCCCCCCCCGAAAAAGAAAGGGCAGAAATAAACACACGAACCAGTAAATAGACAAATAAATAGCCTTTTCCCCCAAACGGGCAAACCTCTTCCACATAGTATATATGATGCAACTACTACCAACCCGGAGTTTCACCTCCCACCCAGTCAGAACTATCCTACTCATCATGAAGAATCAAATGAAAAGGGGGAAAGAAAAAAAAATAAAAAAAAAAAAAAGAACTCAAATTTGAGACAACGGTGAAGGTGGAGGTTGATTATTACGTAGTAGTTATGTATGTATACATGTATGTGATGCTTTATTTGTTTACTTTTCATTGTATTTCTAGTCATGGTTATCTTTACATTGACTTTCTTCTTCTATCATTTAGGGTTTAGAGTAAAGGATGTGTGGATGCATCAATAGTAACTGAAGTATGGTAGGTAGAGTGGGGAAGGAAATCTAGATCGATTTGTAGGTTGGTTGGTCTGTAGGTGAGTGTATGTATTACAATGTAGATAGATAGATAGATACTTGTAGTAGTACTTCATATGGTATTAATCGTCACAAAATTGCTGGTTTTCGCTAACTTATCAGTCAAACTTGGGTATATAGGTAGTAGAACTAAGACAAACGAATCCAGAACCCCGTGTCTCTCTAGTGACCTTGTTAACCAATACTCCAAAAACGATATATGGGTAATAATCAAATCAACTGAAGGGTTTAAGATGGTTGGGAAAGTTTCTCCCGTCGCTCAGTATACCAACGCTCCAAGCATGCGCGTCTCTGCGCCTGCGTCATGCCCTCCACGACAAGGGCGAATTCGGTTGCGTTTGGGAAGCCGTATCGTCTCGCCATGCTGCAGAATTGGCGTTTCATGACACGCTTTGGCGGGTGGAATTTGTATTTGATTGGCTGATTGGTTGTAGATGAGGATGACTTCTTATGGGACTGAGACTGCGACTGCGATCCTGCAAATACTTGCATGTCTAGGTTCTTGGTATTCTCGTCGGCTAGTTCGGCGCGACGGCTGAGCCGTTCCTCGACTTTGGATGACCCGATGACTTCGTTGTTGAGGTGGGTGTATTCGACCCCTGCGCCGGCGAGGATGGCTTGGATGGGGTCATGTTTGGTATTGATGGGAGTTTTGGGGTTGGTGGATTCTTCGTCGTCGTCCTCGCCGCGAATCATGGCTGCTAGCTGGCTCATGACTTCATTGGTGTCGTCGGATTTGCCGGTGAAGGTTGTGTCGGAGACGTTGGGGTCGAACTCCACGTCGATATCCATAACCTGGACGCCGGCTTTGCTTTCAGCGACGTTGGTTTTGTTGACGATGTCGCGGAGAAGGATGTTTTGGTTCTTGTATTCGAATAGATTGTCGAGACCGAAGAGCTCACCCTTTTGGTCTTTCTTCTCTTGGACACCCTTGAAGTAGCGTCTTTCTGAGCTCGCGTTGTAGCCGATGTTGGCTTGCTGTTGTTTGTAGATCTGCCGGGCATAGACGATCTCTTCGATGGTGCCGGCGCTGATGAGCCGGAAGACTTCGACATCGCGAGATTGGCCGATACGGTAGGCACGATCTTGCGCCTGAAGGTCGTGTGAGGGATTCCAGTTGGGATCGACAATGACAACTTTGTTGGCGGAAGTTATGTTGAGTCCGACACCGCCAGAGCGGGTGGAGATGAGAAAGACGAACTGGCGTGGGTTGGAGTTGAAGTCGTCAACAACTTTAGTGCGCTCTTCATAGCTCATAGACCCGTCGAGGTAGCTGACGTTGTAGCTGGTGTAGTGAAAGAGCATCTGGAGCATTTTGAGGAGGCGCACACTATGGCTGAAGACAAGCACTTTGTCGCCATTGGCGTGCCACCACTTCAGCAGTCGGCGAAGGACCTTCCATTTACCACAAAACTCAGGGTTTGCGTAGTTGACAATCGAGTCCCGAGAACGGTAAAGCTTTTCCCATTGCTCGGGCACAGCCAGTTCCAGCATCTCTTTGTCCTTTTCTTGTTTCTCGTTAGAGTCGACTCCCTGCGGGATGAGGATTGCTAGGTGGTTGCTGAGTTTCTGCAGCACTGCTATCGCAGGAAAGACATAGCTTCGCCAGGTGAGCCCGGATGGTAGAAACTGACGACAGCACCAGCCGGCTTTCTGCCGAGAACCACAGTCACAAGGGTCGCTGGAGTGTTTGATATAGCTGACCATGTCGCTTCCCAGAATGTTCACGTAAGCGTCAGCCTGAGTATCAGTGAGCGGACAGAAGACGACACGGTCAACCTTCTTGGGGAGCTGGTCTGCAATTAGTGTCTTCATCCGGCGGAGGAAGAACTGCGGCAGGAGGTTTTCCACCAATTTTTTCGCCGTCTTTCGCGCTCTACGCAGCTGATGGACGGTGGCGTCGTGTGACTGACCGATTTTCAAAGGTTCAGAAATGGTCTTCTTCCAGACAGTCACCGGGCCGAGCATCCCTGGATTCGTCCAGTTCAGGAGGGTCCAAAGCTCCTCGTATTTGTTCTGAATGGCAGTTCCGGTCAAGCCAATTCGGCAAAGAGCGTTGATCATGTTCATGGCTTTAGTCGTTTCCGACTTGCGCTCCTTGATGACATGACATTCATCCGCTATCACACAATCCCAGTCGACCATATTGATAGCATCCTTGTTGTGGAGATAGGTACTATAGGTGGTGATCAAGATTTCCAGTCTTCCGGACCGCGCAGCTTGGAGCGCAAGCTCCTTGTTCTCTCCATGGTAGGTGTCGAAATGCCACCAGCCCCAACGCGAAAGCTCGGCCATCCAATTCTTGAGAAGAGTCCCGGGGCAGACAATCAACGTGCGGGGATACCACTGATCGTGGCCGCTTCTCCGCATCTTTCTCATTCGCTTGGCGTCTCTTTCATCGCCTGTTTTTCCATACGCCGCTGTGAGGAAAGCAATAACCTGCACCGTCTTTCCCAGACCCATGTCATCTCCAAGGATTCCGCCCTTCTGGTAAACAAACAGTTCATGGAGGAAAGCAGCTCCATCGACCTGATACTGGCGCAACCACTGTGCGATCGGGGCTGGTATGAGTCCCAACGAATAAGGAAGAGTAATGTCCTTGTACTGATTGCATGGCCTCATATTCTCGAACTTAGGCTTTTCCGCCAAAGATTCCAACCTCTCATCGTCGGAGAATTCAACATCGTCATAGCCTGGCGGCAACTTCAGTCCGGATTGCTTCAAATACTCTGTCCTCCGATCAAACTGCGAGCGTCGTTTCTGGAGATAATCCGGTAAAGTATATTCCATCAGTTCATCCTCCGATGACACTTCCTCTCCGTAGACTCGTAGTGGCCGTCTCGGTCGGGCTTTCCCCTCGGAAGTTGGAAGTCGGCCGACGATGGAGTTTGAGCTTGCGACTCTCGTCACCTTAGCAGCTCTATTCTTCAGGTTTGCGGTGCTCCGTTTCCGTTTCGTGGCCTTTCGATTCTTGAACTCCTTGTAAGCGGCCTCGCCCTCATTGAAGGAGTCATCTCCGCTGTCGGTGTCGACCACCTCCACCACTGCGTGGCTCTTCTTGTCGAGTGGCGAAGAGGATTGCTTGACCGTAGTCGGAATAGTGTCTGTTGACCGGCGTGGAGTCGTCACTTCAGACTTTGGGGCATGGTCCCTACCTATGATCATCGAGCAGTCAGATATGTCATGTTACTAGGTATAGATAAGGTGCGGGGACAGACCAGCGACTGAAAGCGAAGTATGCTGTAAGACCAACGGGCGTGTCCCGTCGAGATCATCGTCATCTGATCCGACCGTAGTCGCGTCAGTATCCTCGACCTCCACGTGTGAGCCCATGTCCGCCCGAGCTCTGGCAGAAGCTATCTAGACCGACCGTTGAGGGGAAGGCTGAAGCAAGTGTAAGAGAGATGGAGATGCGGAGACACGATGGAGTCAAAACGGGCTTCCCGATTGGGCAAGCAGCTGACTGAAGAATTCCGCGCCGAAAAGTCAAACTCCGCAACCAATTCCCCTCTTCTCTGCCCATTGCTCGCCCTCGACTTGAAACTGAGCCTGCATACTACGTCGCTTTGTACCTGTGCTCGAACTGAATTCTCCGATCCGGCTTTCTTATTCCTTTGACAAAGTTTGACAGCGCATGGTGCGGGGAAACCACGCCAAAACTTCCTCCCATCTTGATTTCGGCATACCGATTGAAGCACCTCCCAGTTCACAATGCCTCTCGACACATCCACAACATATCCCCTCACCAAGCTTCGCCTTGATGGCCGTCGCTGGAATGAGCTTCGACTGCTCCAGGCCCAGATCTCCACGAACCCCGCCAGTTCGGGCTCATCCTACTTGGCCATGGGCAACACCGCGATCCTGTGCTCCGTTCACGGTCCCGCAGAGGGGCGTCGCGGTGATGCCACAGGTGGTGCTGCTGGATCAGCAGGTGCGGTAGTAGAGGTGGATGTCAATGTTGCAGGATTTGCTGGAGTGGACCGCAAGCGCAGAGCCGGCGGAAGTGACAAGTACGTTGCTCATTATTGTCATGTCTGTTGTGTCTGCTATGACTGGTGCTGACTGAATTTTTGAACAGACAATCTTCGCGCGTCGCAACGATACTACGCTCTGCTTTTCAGTCGCATCTTCATACCCACCTCTACCCTCACAGTACGATTAGCATCCACGTCTCGGTTTTGTCGTCAGACGGTTCGCTCCTCGCCGCGGCGGTCAATGCCTGTACGCTGGCGCTTGTGGATGCCGGTATTCCCATGCCAGGACTCCTCTGTGGGTGCACGTCGGGAATGAGCGGCAGTGCGTCTACGCCGCGGGATCCGAATAATGACACATTGGATCCGCTGCTGGACTTGTCTCTGCCGGAGGAGCAAGAGCTTCCGTTCCTTACGGTGGGAACGACGACGGCTGTACCGGTGGGAGAGGCAGCTATGATTAACGAGGATGAGGACGAGATGAAGGTAGCAATGCTGACGATGGACTCCAAGGTGCATTGCACATATGTTGAGACAATGCTGGCGGTGGGAATTGACGGATGCAAGCAGATCCGGGAGATTTTGGAAGGGGTGATCAAGAAGTCGGCACGCCGGTGATGACTTGGTTTTGAATTCTGTTTCTTTATATCTGCTATCTGGGATCTTCTACAGGGCAGCGCGATAGGGCGAGTTCTGTTTATACCCAGTGATTGCCATGAGGTGTTGGGCGCGGCGGGATGGATCCTTTCAATGTGATATTTGAATATTCCAGCGAATACAGCCAAGTTGCTAATCATGATGCTACTGTAGATTCTGCTGTAATATGTCCGATTCACTGCATCTTCTGGGCCCACTGGTCAGGAGCTACCTGCATAATGTGCTCAACGTCTAGTGACTGTCTTCCCTTGCCGCGGCAGAGACTCTTTCTACTGATGAGCGCGTTATTACTGATTCATACTGAACTACATGAGGGAGATTGACATTTATACAAGAACACGTTCCTGACATACACGTATACAAAGTCAGAAAACTAGTCCCTAACCTCTTGCTATCTCTTCCTCACTGCTGGTACTTCTTTTCTCCAGAATACTCTTGATCTGTCTCTACAGTCCTTACCAACCACCCTTCCCATCCTTCCGTTCATTCACCTCCTCATCAACCCTCAAAGTCCATAGACACAACATGAACATGACCACAGAAACCACCACATCAGCCATCACGAGCGCCAGTACCACTGCCACCATGGCCTCTACCAACTGCAAGATCTCAGTACACCCCCCTTTCCCCACCACCCCCATCCCAAACCTGTCTACCTCCCTTCTAACCATACCCAGATGCTCTGGAACTGGAACACCATGGACGCTTGTAAGTCAACCAACACTGAACCAACCACCCAGAACACTAAACCCCAAGCAAAAAGGCTTCATCTCCTCATCCTGGCACATCACCTCCCCAAGCATGTTCGCGGGCTCCTGCATCGGAGTCATCCTCCTCGTCATATGTCTAGAACTTCTCCGTCGGGTTGCCAGCGAATACGACGCGTTCATCATCAACCGCGCCAGACTTAAAGCTGATACTAATACTGGGAACGATCAACCCAACATCGCAGTTCCTCATGACCGCTCCACAGACAGACCCGCCAAAAGACCCATCCCATGGACGCAGTCAGGCTCACTTTCAGCCCTACCTCCTATTCCGGAGTTAGTAGAGGAGGAGGAGAAGGATGAAGATAATGAACCAATGCCTAATGCGCCAGAAACTACATCACATCCTAGTATACACCCCGAGAACCAGTCAAAATTCATATTCAGACCCAGCAAGATCGAGCAACTCATCCGAGCCACCCTGCATGTATTGCAATTTGCTGTGGCGTACTTTGTGATGCTGCTGGGGATGTACTACAACGGGTATATTATTCTTTGTATCTTTGTTGGGGCGTTTGTGGGGTTTTTGCTCTTTTCGTGGGGGAGACTTGGTACTAGGGAGTGAGTGATTTACCTTGTTACTGGTTTATGCTTATGCTGTCTGCTGGTATTGGTAGCTGACGATGAGTAAGTACTATGTATGTTCAGGATCAGGAACGACGCCACATCCGTGACTAGATGCTGCGGCTAGGTGAGGTGGGTGGGTGTTGGAGCTTAGTTTGACATGATGCTTTCTAGTTTGATTGAGATATTGTGGTGAGGATCTTGGAGAGGAGTGTGGTTTTTAGCATGCCTTGGGAGAGTCGATGGTAGGGTTAGGGAATGGTGTACGAGTACTATCAAGCGATAAGCACCGGTGGTAGATTAAATCCATGTTCGTATGCATAAGACAATATGTTAATAAGAGTCTAGATAGAATATGCCTTGATATCATCTATGTCACAGACCAAATATGGGGGAATTTGTCTCTCACTAAATGAACAACAACTACGCCATACTCCCTCTCCGATCACATCATACTTTAGCTTACTAGCTCAGCCCAGCTGAGTTCCCCCAGCCTTGGCCAGCGGCCAGCCCTCAAACCCCTCACTCCTACGTACTAACCAACTTCCAAGGTACACTTACGTATACATACATAACCATCCATCCATCTAACTACAATATTAAGTAAGTATGCAGACAAATATAATAAATACTATATGGCTGAAAAATCGAGGGAATAGAATAAATGAATGAACAAAACACAGCTCTGCTCACAACTGCCCTATGGTAAAGATAGTAGTAGTCTCATTAAAGCCACCTGCATGCAACACAGCAGCAGTAGCAGCAGCAGCAGCAAGCAAGGAATAGGAATGCGAATGCGAGCCGGCCGTATTCGGAACCGGGAAACCAATCCGAGGTTCGAATTGCCCCTTGCCAGCTGAAGGACTGGACTGCTTTGCCCCCCTCCCCTCCCCTCCCCTCCCCACCGGAGAAAGAGGGTTTGAGTGTGTGTTGGAGCGGGGTTGAATTGTTAGTCGGACGGGTTTAGTGCTAGTCTAGGTTGCCACGTTCGGTGGGATCTTTGGCTGATTTTAGAGGTAAGGTTATGTAGGGATTTCGTCACTGTGTGGTTATTTACGAGGTGGATATTACTTGGGTCTTTCTCTATCAATATACTCTGAGTGTAGGAAAATGGTTATGGTCACTGCAATACGATGGTACAAGCTTGAAAGGAAACTTATTGACAATTGGTATGGACACTCTAGATTACACCGGGTAGGGAGAAAGAGAATTGTCCACCATTAATCCTCACAACGCTGGTCTACACCAGCTCGTGGGATGATATCCCAATTTTGCCATCTGTCATCCTTGAAATCCGCTTACAACTCACCGCAGTTGACGATGGTGGGCTTGACGTTGGAGCGGATGGAGCCGGAGGAGGAGCCGAGAGCCTCGATCTCCTTCACGACCTTCATAGAGTCCTCATCGGCAACCTCACCGAAGACAACGTGCTTGCCATCGAGCCAAGAGGTGACAACGGTGGTGATGAAGAACTGGGAGCCGTTGCTGCAGATGCTGTTAGCTGTCTGAAACGTAATTAATACGAGTGACAGTAGAACTTACGTGTTGGGACCAGCGTTGGCCATGGAGAGGAGACCGGGCTTGTTGTGCTTGTAGATGAAGTTCTCATCGGCGAACTTCTCACCGTAGATGGAGCGACCACCGGTACCCTGGATGATGATATCAGTCAAATCGTTCTCTCCCACACAGTCGCCCACGGAGGCGGATCAAAATAGCAGAATTACTCACGTTGTGGCGGGTGAAGTCACCACCCTGGAGCATGAACTGGGGGATGACACGGTGGAAGGTAGAGCCCTTGTAACCCTCACCCTGGGGCTTGGAGCAGAGCTCACGGAAGTTGCGGGCGGTCTTGGGGACGTCCTTCTCGAAGAGGTTGAAGACGATACGGCCCGTCTTGGCTAGAGAGCAGGAAAAGAGACCAAAGTCAGCCAAAGGAACCAGCAAGCATTGAGAGAATGCATTTCAGTCCAAGGATATGAGAAGAATATCGCGATTGTGGGAGAGTTCCTTCTATGGAAGACATCCCAGCACTCCCATTTTCTTCACAAGGAGGGGTAAAATCATCCATGCAGGAAAAAGGGTGACGACAGCAACGAAGGACGATGAGGAATAGAAGAGGACAACTTACGGGCACTGGAGCCCACGGGGGCGTACTGAACTTCAAAGAAGGCTTGAGTGTTTCCAGACATGGCTGCGGATGATTGATGGAAAGGACGAAGAGAGAGGAAGGAAGATTGCTTGCAATTGGGGATGGAGAAGAGGGGACGAGAAGCGAAGGGCGAGCAAGGTGGGGTTATTGTTGACCTCAGGCTTCGGGAGAACATTGTTGCTGGAGGGGCACTGGCTGGCTAACCGCTTCTGTCCTGTGCGTCAGCCCATGCGCGCCAATCATGCAACTTGCCAGGCCATCCGCCGTGGGCCTCAGGCCGCTCCGTGGAAGAACATGGAAGTGCTCCGACCGTCCAGTAGTGAAGTGAGTAGCTACCAGCTACTCTTAGTAGTAACTTAAGTAGCTTGCTCACTCCAAAGCAACCGGACCAGGGGGGGAATAACTGCCATTGGTCCCCTTATACCATTGGGGACGGCCAATGCAATTGGGATGCATCACTTACAGTACTATCTAAAGAAAAGAATTGATGTAGAAAAAGAATAATATCTCGTCTCACGAATTGCTGTAGCTGGTTGCTTGCTGCTTTGCTGGCGTGGAGAGCAAAAAGAACTGGAGAAAGCGCGTCGGACAGCGGAGGAAAATATTCCTGCTACTGCCCCAACCGGGGATAGCTCGTGATTAGCTAAGACCCGGTTCGGTCGGAAGCTTTCCAGAACCAGAAATGGTTCTCACCTCTACAACAGCGCTAAGACAACTGATCGTACACGTGATTGACCACTCAATACCTGTTTACTATGTAGTAAGGCAATTCTTATAGTTTCTCTAATATCTACCAGGGAAGCTGTCAACATTTACTACTCCATTCATCGCGGAAAGCAATGGCCGCAGCCAATCGAATATAACCACCACCAAAGTCTATCTATCGAGTCATCTAAACGGACTCCACGAAAACAATAACCACGGCACACAATAGAAAGAAGACCCCCGTATGGTCAATTCAAAAGTCAGAAGAGAAGAAGCAATTCCGGGGGAGGTTGAACGTGTAAAGAAAATGCCGCAGTATAAATTCTGGAAGGAACACGAAATCAGTCCAGTCCTACAAGGACCGTCATGCAGAAAGGAAGAAAAAAGCGCTAATCAAATAGAAGCAGAGAAGAATATCAACCGCAAATCCAAATAAAGAATCAACAGAAATAAAGAAAGGGAGAAGCTGAATAAAAGTACATCGCTCCTGAAGTCAGGGTGCGTCTGGAAGAAAACAAGAATCTGTCGTAAAGCTCCACCAGATTACAACACGTCGTTCCACATGGTTGCTCGTTGTCATGCGTGATAACTGCAAAAGTAAGGAAAGCGAGATTGCAAGGTCCAGCAGTTCGGTTGGTATCATGGTGCCAAATCAGCATGCTAGAAAGAGATAGAAGTGAAAAGAGAATAACGCCACCGCGATTCTCGGGCTGAACAAGCCTAGAAAGAAACAATATCATGATGTTGACCTTCAGGCGGATGAACTATCGAAAGTCATCCTCCTCCTCAAGGCTCGCGGGGTCCAGCTGATGAGCAAGCTCCTTGGTAACCCGGGGAATCTCAAACGCGATAGGTGGAAGCTTGTTGGTTACTTCTCGGAGCCCCTCGGGGCTGCTAGAAGCCTCGCCCTCGGCCGCAGCGCCTACAAGGCGGTGCTTGTGGTATTCCAGCATCTCGAGGACAGGATCAATGCGTTGCCGAAGAGCCGGGCTAGCCTCTGGTCTCTTGACAAAGTGCTGAACCGAAGAGGTAACATTCGTCACCGCAGAAGAGATGGCAGAGACATGGGTGCTGATCGTGGTCAAATCACGATCGGCTCGGATGCTGTCGATGAGGGCTTGGATTGACTGAACCAGGCCATTCGTCTGATCCTCGACGTAAAGCTGTCGCCTCAGTTAGCACACATTACCAGTATCTAGAAATGTGATTACATACCTTCATCTCCTGAAGTTCGTGGTTCTCGGCCTGCGAGCTGTAGTCTTGCACTGCCACGGAAATTCCGTGGGGAGCGTCAGGCGGGGGGCTCATGGCACTGTAGACGGAATCATTTCGACTGTGTCGGCTTTGACTAGGAGCCACGCTGAAGTAGTCTGGAGACTTCATCTGACTAAATTGAACCTCATCGTCGTCATCATGGGACTCATTAGGAGGAGTGGATCGGATCTTGACGAGGCGAATGAGTTCAATCACAGCAGCCGACAGATGAGAAGCCGCAGCATCCAGAAGGGAGACAGGTGAGAGCCCGTTGGACTTCACGAAATTCTTGGCTGCCGTGATCAGATTGTTCGCGGTGGTAGAAAGCTTGCCTATAGCCTTCGATCGCAGTGCCGATGACCCATCGCTAGGGTCTTGACTTTCTTGCACGTCCTGCAGCATATGCCGTACCGCCATAACCACAGCATTGATCTGGCGTGTCACGACATGGTAATCTTCGTGGCGTGCAGTGTGTAGAAGCTCGTCAATAGATATCTGGAACTTCGCGACATGAACATCCTTGACCAAGCCATTTTCATGGAAGATATCACGATCCCTGGTAAGAGTTGCGGCATCGGAACGGATTTCTGTCCCGATAGATGATGTGCGAAGGTGCCCTGCCTGCGCCTTTGCCTTCTCATAGCGGGTCTTCCACTGTTTGACTTGTTCCTCCAATCTGTGAACCTCGGTGGTAAGTTGCTCTTCGTGCTCCCACCGAGACTGGCTTTGCTCGGACAACTCCCTCATTTCCCTCAGGAAGCCAGCTGCCTCCCGTCTGACCTCTTCTGTCACTGACCGTTGCTCTTGCAACTCAGTCTGCAGGCTTTGATGCTTAATCTCAAGGTCAGCAAAGCGGGCCTGCAGCTCTGGATCTCCAGTGCTTTGCCGTGATGCTGCTTCCAACTGGTTCCGCAGGTCGTTCTCTATGGCCGCATGCTCGGCCCGAACCTTGTCCAGTTCCAACTGCAGGTTGCTGTTCAGATCCTCGGCCTGGGAGATTTTGCTCTCCAGATCCGACTTCAAATCCTCCCATTCTTGCCGTTCGCTACTAGTGACCTGTGAATCCGGTTAGCAACCGCAATCAATGGGAGTCGAGTAAAAAATCGTCTGCCCTACATCTGACGTGGTTTGACTTTCTCGGTATTTGATAAGCTCCTCATCCTTGGACTTGACCAAGTCCTCCAAGGTTTCAACCTTGCTCTGACCTTCCTGGTACTTGGATATCTCCTCATCCTTGGATTTCAATAGGTCCTCGAGCTTGTTCACCTTATCCTGCAAAGCAGATACCTGCGATTGAGTTTCCGCCAAAGCCTTTCTGTCGGCGTCTGCTAAAGTAGCCCCTGTCCCCCGCCGACTTTGCAGAACCGCATCTAGAGCAAACGCATCGCTCCGCGCATCATAATCGTCCTCCGTACCTACTCCATCATCGTCGTCCTCGACCATAGTACTCTTGTTCGGAACAATAGTGTTACTTTGGAAGGATTTGGCCATTGGCCCATCACCGTTCATGCCTGGCGGCGGCCCACCAAGTGATCCTTGGCGTGGGGGATACATCGGACTTGCTGGAGGAGGTCCACCAGGGGAATAGCCCATTCGAGACGGGGGCCCACGAGACTGCGAACGCGGCCCTCCCGGCGTCGGAGGGTATCCGTTCGGTGGATAGCCATTGGATGGCCGTCCGCGGTAGCTGGGAGCCGGACTCAACCGACGAGATTCCCTAGAAGGAAATTGAGGAAACCGTCGCTCTAACTCGGTATAGACATCCGTCGCGAGATCTCGGAAACGCTGGTGCTGAAGCGAAGCAAGCTTTTGGCGCGCCTGGTTGCGCTTTTCATGGAAATCCTTGCGCGGTGGCAGGAACGGGGGAATATCAGGGCGAGGGGGTCGGTTCGGAGCCGGCATAGCCGCTTGTCGCCGGAGCAGTTCATCATAAACGTCGGTACTTAATTCGTGAAATTGCGTGGCGGAGAGTCGTAGCAGCTTGTCGCGGGCTTTGCTTGACTTGTTGGCTCGATCATCACGATGGGACGCATGAAGGAACCTCCTGAGGGCAACGTAGTGTTGGCCTAGGACCTCCTCCATCCGCTTGTGTCGCTTGCTGCGTTGATCCGACAAAGTGCCATCGCTCGATCGCGCTGCCACCGAGCTCGGGGGAGAGGGATTCCCGGCATCGCTGACCGGGCCCGATGAACCGTTTGTAAGTCCTGCGCCATTTGAACCGCTGGGTACACCAGAGGTAGGGGGGGTGGCGAGGGCGCTGCGAGTCGAGAAGGTCGGGGAGAAAGGCGGATCCGATTTCTGATACTGATTGATGCCGGACCAGTCACTCCCGTCCACGGAGACAGGCGACATAGTCCCGGAGGGAGCGTTCATAGGGGGGTGTTGCTGTCGGTAGGCCCGTGGGCTCCGTGCTAGCTAAGAGGTAGGGGAGATCTGGGTCCGTCCAAAGCCAATATGCTTATCACTATGCATCCGAGGTAGGGTGAGGTTGCAACCCCAAGGCCATTGATGAAGACTGAGTATAGGTATCTGAGAATCGGAGGATTTCGCTCGTGGCGGGTGATAAGGAATGGACGGCCGCTGCGACTGGGAGGGGGGCTAATGCTTCCTCCGAAGAGAATGAAAACAAAGGAAGGAGGAATCCGATGCGGAATGTAGAATAGAACGTGCCGGAGGCACCGGTGTCAACAGAAGTCGGCACGGGGATACGACCGGTCACCAACAGGCATACCAAATTAATAAATTAAATTGTAGCGACCACAAAAAAAAGACCTAAAGCGGCGGCCTTTGGGGAAGGGGAAAGGAAAATAGATCAGTAGGGATTGGACCCAGGCAGAAACAAGCAGCGGGAGAAGCAGCAGCCACCGCCGAAGTTGACCTGGGTTTGGCGACGCCCCAAGGAGTGGAGTTTGGAAAAAGGGCCGGACTAGGGAGTGGCCGAACTTCTTTTGGGGGAGGGAAGAGAGGACTTGGAACCCAAGGGGGAAAAGGTTGAATGAATGACTGACTGACTGACTGAATGAATGGAGATGGATGAGAGATGGGCTAGGCTAGAAAGATGGAGCCTGGGGGGGGACGGGCGGACACGATGGTGAGTGAGCAAGTCAGAGAGCCAACGACCACTTCCTCTTGGAACGGGAAATTATTTGGCGGCTGATGGAAGATACATCCACAATACCTACTCAGGTACCTTTACTAGAAAGCTTGGAAAGAACTCCGTTCATACCATACATACCTGGGAGGTATGGTACGGTATGTTCGTACGACCTCAACCTCTCCATGCCAGAAGCGCCTGTCGCGGACAAGTTCTTTTTCAACTTACCTTTACTTTTTTTTTTTCCCTCCACGGATCTTGCGATCTTGGATGTGCGATCAGCTGGAGTTATCATTCTTATCCAAGATCCATCCTTACTTATCGCGAGTAAACCTGAGACATTTTCCATCATGACATCGGGCACTAGAACTTTTGAGTGGGTTGCTACAACTACATTCTGAGACACAAACAACCACCTTCTTTAAACCCTACCAAAAGCCAAAGATCGCCTGGGATAAAGACAGTACCGCGACTGGCTCATCCTGCCCTCAACCTTTGGGTGCTAAAGTAGGTTGTGTATGGTACGGGACCAGACAAGACAAGTTGCAAAAT